AGCTCTCACTTTCTCCTCCTCCTCCTCTCTCCCTCTCTCCCTCCTCCCTCATTTCTCCCTCCCTCCTCACCATTCCTCATTCTTCCCTCGGCAGGCGTGTGCGCAAATTGTTAAGAAAAAGTTATTATTATTATTATTATATTATTATTATTATTATTATTATTATTATTAAGAACTATTTATTATTCCTGTTATTTGTATATCTCCGCTGTTATTAATAATATAAACGATTGTTGGCACAATACCTCATTTAATATAAAATAATATTCTACTTTTGAAATGTATCGGGCCCTAATTGTACCTAAAAGTAATATATATATTTTAGTGATATACCATATATTGTAAACTATTTAATATTTCAGCCACTTAAAAAGTTAATTTGCATTGAATAATTGCCTACCATTAAAGGAAATTTGAGCTATATAACCCTTGATGGGCATATTTTGGGTATGCAAATACTTCCTTTACATTTTGGGTGTGATTCAACCGATTTATTCTCAAACCAGAAACATCTACCTATAAAAAGAAGCACAGGTCACTAATATAATAAACTTCACCCTTTGTATTACTTCACTCAATTATAATAAATCATCTTTGGCTTTCATCACAATTACAATATGTTCATCTGCATTGGCATTTTTCTACTTTTCGATGGGAAACAATAAACTTCCCAACATTTTTAAATGAAATGATGTAACAATTCCTCATGTGGTTATTTTTCCATAGATATCCTCATCTCTGTCCTCATGTGAATTTAGAGGCAATAAAAATGAAAATTATTTACCATAAACACTGCAAACTAAACCTAATAAACAATTTTATACCTAATATAGAAATAAATTTAGCATTTTCAATTAATGTCCTAAATCCATGTTAACAGATATATTTTTTGAACTGCTGGTTTTAGTAATTATTAAAATAAACGAACTAAAAGTCTTAAAAATAAACAATTCTTAACCATAACCTCAAAATGCAGATCTCCTGTCAATTTCTTTATTTTTTTATTTATTCAGTTTTCCTAGTGACGTCACAGGTGGTATGCGCGAACTGAACGAAATTGGAGCCGCTATCGATCATACCTTGTATTCTTGTACCATGACGTCTAAACGCCTTTTGATGTACCGACTCGAAGCGAATGGTCAGCGAACGAACGAACGAATGGCCGCATGCGTTCGGTCCGTCTAAATATACCGCACTTCATTCGTTCGTTCGTTCGTTGTTCGTTCGTTCGGATAATGAATACGCACCTTAAATCTGAAACCGCACGCAGGCGAACGCCTTTGATGTACCAACTCGAAGCGGATGGTCGAGCGCACGACCGAACGAACGGCCGCATGCGTTCGGTCCCCGTCTAAATATACCGCACTTTCATTCGTTCGTTCGTTCGGATAATGAATACGCACCTTTATGAAAATGAATAAAAAAACTTGTTTTCTAGACTTAACAAAAAGAATATAAATATTACATTAAAAAAACAAAACTAAAACTAAGATTCTAAAACTAAGGTATTAATTAAAATATGGTGACATTTCAATTTTATATCTTATATACTCTGAATCAGGAAAGAAGACGATTGCGTAATATCATAAATTATACGAAATATAAATGAACGTACGTCGGTGATAAGGTCACGAGGTTACGACCGATGACATATTGAAGTTAGGTCATGTTATTAGGAAATTACTCTTTCTAACACATTTGAAATGGTAAATCGATTGTCTTTACTACAAAATAATATGTTTATGCAATCGTCTTCTTTCAGAGTAATTCAGAGTTTAGATATGTTATCTTCAATTCTATTTTAATCCTAACCTAACCTAACAACTTTTTTCTAATTTATTTAAGGCTAAGATAATCATATATTTATACTGGGTCGACAAGAGAAGATACAAGACCTACATGTCTAGAAGTGAATCGCTATGGCGATCTTGTAAGTCGGAGAGAGAAAAGTGCGAAGTTTATTACCTATCCACACATAGCCCTGCCTATACACGTAAAAATCGACAAAACTATATGCCGCTTTTTATTTTGTCCCTTGTCTCTCATTTATATTTATCACTGTCGCATTAAAATACAGACCACAGAGTTAAAAAGTGTCCTTGACCGTATATTGAACCAGCATCTAACTTTTTATATCATACTTATTTTCTTAAATGGCTAATAAAAAAATGGCCTTAAATGGCTTAAAAGATGCTAAAAATTTCGTAATTTTATTTAATTTTTGTCTGTGAAACATAATATGTGAAAATAATGCAAGACTACAAGAGATGCTGGGTCTTGGTCATGCATAAGTCTTGCACTGGACTGTCTTGGCTTTGGTCTAGTAGATCTAACGCTAGCCTTGGTCTTGCATTTTGTGAAAAACCAAGACCAGCTCCGCAAGAACAACACTGGCCTAGCTCATCAGATATTCTATATATTTACGAGCAGTAAATTCACCTAATTAAGCAATAAACATTTCACATGTTTTGCTACAATAACGCAAGGATTTATTTGGATTAGTTGACTTACCATCTTTAGGATAGAATAAATGATGAAAATAGCCTTGTTAGAAATATTTGATTTAATTGATTTACTTTTTTATAAATTTAGATATTTGATGATATGGGATATATAAATATAGAAGGGTCAAACTGATATGTTTTAATTATCGTAAAGCTATGGAATTCTACAATTATAATAATTAATAAATTTACTTACCGAAACCGTTGTTACTGTACAAGAATTTGCTCTTGGTCTGAAAGTGGCCGCTCTCCATTTCCTTTTGATTTGTGCCTGGACCTATTGATAGATAAACAGTTTACTATAACATTCTTCGAAAATAGGAGGAAGTTTATTTACAAACAGTTTTAAAATAGAAAATATCATTAAAAAACAAGAAAAAACAGGTTTAAACAAGACAAAAGTAGGACTGGTTTTACCGTTTTGGAAGTTGTCCCGTTTTTTATCGGGGTTTTCTTGTTTAAAGCTATTTATTCTAGTTTATTGGAGGTTTAAACCATTTTTTAATGTTTCATTGACATATTTCGTCATTACAGAAAACGACTAAGATCTACTGTCAAACGAGGTTCCAATTGAAGAGTTACGCTTTTAGCCAGCAGTACGTGAATTGACTAGTCCTTTCAGGGAATGACGATTTTTACGGTTTGACGCCGACATAGTAAGTACCCATTGTCGGTAAGTGAAATATCTATAGATCAGAATCTCCTGCACTATAATATTACTTATAGCATTGGATACATTTACATTGTATACCGGGTGCGTCTCAAAAGTGGCTCATCCCTATATGTCAATGAATGTCAAAAGTTTATATATGATATATGTCATTTTCTAGAATAAAGTAAAAAGATACCGAGGGTGCCATTTAAAAATCAAAAGTTGTAGTAATTTCCGGTGAAACAGAAAGTGATCGAAACCAAATTAATACGTCAATCAATCCTAATTTATGTCATATACTAACATATCATTTCCGTGTTTTATCTGAAAAGATAAAAAAGTTATAGGAGTGAGCCACTTTTGAGACGCACCCGGTATAGCCCTGGTAGACGCGCACCCGGTACACACCTAGTATAAAAACATGAAATTCTCATTTATAATACCCCAGTAGGTACTTACAATTGTTAAAAGTAGCGAACGATTTATGCGTTTATGTTTTAGATGGTCGTTCTATAATATACAGTACGTCCCCGGATTGTCTTTACAAGAGGAAAACCTTTTTTATTATTGACATTTTGTAAAAAATGTATTCTTCATAAAAATTTTTGCTTGTTCTAAAATGGTTAATCCCATTTATACTCTTGCAAATTTCCATACTGTTTTCCGGTCCTTTAAGTCCTAAAAATCAAGACGCGTTTCTATGGTAATATAACTTTGTTCTCATTCTTTGATATATTTTTATTCATAGAATTTTAATTAACGTAATGTTTTTTTGTTGTTTTAAAATGTTAAAGAAGCACAAAATGTATTTAGTTCAATGCTACGGAAACGGTGATGATATTTATTGGAAAATATGATACTTTAACAACAGCAAAGAAAACGGCGTTAATCAAAATTAATAATAACCACCATAATATAATCATGCATCAAAGAATGAAGTCGAAATTATATTACCATAGAAACGCCTTTTGATTCCCAAAAGTGTGACTCTAAAAATACAAACATATTTTCATGATTTTCTTAATTTTCTCTAAAACGGTATGGAAATTTGGAAAAGTATAAACGGAATTAACCATTTTAGAACCAGCAAAAAATTTTATGATGAATGCATTTTCTCAAAATGTCAATAATAAAAAAGTTTTTTTCTTCTTGTAAAGACAATCTGAGGACATGCTGCAATGTATATGTATGTCTACCTATATATTCCTCCATTTACTTATTTATATACATACATCCGAACAACCCAGTCACAGAACTTTCGACTCTATTTTACTCTATTTTGGTAGGTCCTGAAATTGATTTTACATTTCGAGAAAGGCTGGTGGTTTCGGTGAGAAACTGTTTTCGATGCTGTTAAATACTCTGCAAGTTTAGATTTATGCCGCACCGCCAAGAAAGTTTATGTTTGAAGACAGATGTGAGTTCTAATTGAAATGTAATATAAAACAAGGTAAAGTACTTCCATATCGATAAAACTAGAAACAGAACTATTATCGGTAAACTAAATTGTAGGCACAAATGATGGAAAACTTTACTGAGAACTAGATACAGATTTTTTGTAAATAATAATATTTAGATATAAACTCTATATACAATACCATCATAAACACGTACAGCTGTGAAGTCTGGCCAATTAAGGAAACAACAAGACGAATGCTGGAAGCTACAGAGATGGATTTTTGGAGAAGATCAGCAGGCAAATCAAGACTCGAGCGAATAACTAATGAACGCATAAGAGAGATTATGGAAGTTAAACATACGATAGTGGACGACATAAAGAACAGTCAACTCATATGGTACGGGCATGTCCAAAGAATGGCAGAAATAAGAATCCCAACGCAAATTATAAACTGGAAACCTGCAGGAAGAAGAAAACCGGGTAGACCGAGAAGAAGTTGGCAGGAAGGGATTGACACGTTTATGGAGGAAAGATCTCTCGGAGACGGTGCATGGAGAGACAGACAGGCAGACGTAGAACGTTTTAAACCGATTAATATATATATATATATATATATATATATATATATATATATATATATATATATATATATATATATAGACTATATATATATATATATAGACTATATATATATATATATATATATATATATATATAGACTATATATATATATATATATATATATATATATATATGACTATATATATATATATATATATATATATATATATATATATATATATATATATATATATATATATATATATATATATATAAATTTTTTTTAGTAATAAATTTTATAATATAATATGTAATATATATTTATATATATATATATATATATATATATATATATATATATATATATATATAGTATATATAGCATATATATATATATATATATATATATATATATATATATATATATATATATATATATATATATATATATATATATATATATATATATATATATATATATATATTTTTTTTTTTTTTTTTATTCTTTTGTTTGACCTCTCCAATATATATTTTATTAATTTTTTCTTGGCTTTTAGGTCAGGTAAAATGAGAAAAACGGTTTTTTTTATATTAAATATTTCATGACGTTTCGACCTGGTAGGGTCTTTATCAAAATTTATTACTAAAAAAAAAAATTTTATAGTCACATTATGAACGTACTAATTAAAAATAATAGTAATATATATATATAAAAATTCTATTTTGTTACCTTGAACGTAGATTGTTTACTTATTACAACTTATCATTTTCTTTCTGAAATCTATTTTTATAAGGTGGCATGAGAGAAAAAAAATATATAAAAAGCCTACCTTAGCGAAGAAAATATATCCAAATTGGTTTCCACACACATAACACAAACATATCAATAAAGTCGTCACAATTTTTGCACAGAGACATACACATTTAATGGATTTTACAACAATGAATAATATATCTTACTCAGGTTGTTTATATCTATCCTATCATTAACAGAGTGTTGGCTTTTTTGGATAGCAATAGATTCAACAATTTCTCTTTTTTTGGTATTATATTCGGTGCCAATTATTTTTGTACTTTCAAAGTCAAAACTGTGATTTTTTTGGATTTCATGCAAAGTTAGGGCTGTTTTATTTTTCTTGTCGTATTTATGACCTTTTAAACGGTTTTCAAGATACTGACTGGTTTGTCCTATATAAACTCCACTGCAATTTTTGCAGGGTATTTCGTAAATTAGATTGCTTTTTTTGTTTTTCGGTGTTTTTGTCTTGAGCCTTGAAAAGTTACTCGCCAATAAATTGTGTGATTTGTGACATACATTGAGATTATAACTACCAAGTAAATGTTTTATTTGTTGTGACAGTCCGTTCACAAAAGGGATAGAAATGTATTTTTTATTGTCCTTATTTATAGGTTTACTATGTTGGTGTGAGTTGTAAAATTTGTGAATTCGTTTTTTAAAAATGTTATTAATTATGTCATGTGGGTAGCTATTTAATTTAAGAGCATCCTTAGCTTTAATTATCGCGTTTTGTCGATATTCTGGGTCTGATAGTTGTATTGCACGATCTGCTAGCCCTATAATTACAGATTTTTTTTGGTTTATGTGATGATGAGAATTATAATTTAAATAACGAGAAGACCATGATTTTTTGGTATACCATTCGGTTCTGATGTTTCCATTTATGTTATGTAATGTTAAATCAAGGAAGTTTATTTTATTTTCTTGTTCAATTTCGATGGTAAATTGTAAATTTTTATTATAAGAATTAAATATTGTTAAGATGTTTTCAACTTGATTTTTTGGGACAGCCATTATACAATCGTCAACAAATCTAAAGAAAAACGGTATCGAATAGGTGATTTTTGAGAGTACTGTTTCCTCTAAGTCCTCCATTACTATTTGTGCTACTGCACTTGAAATCGAAGCACCCATTGCGCAACCCTTTATTTGTTTATACAGTTCATTTTCGTATTGAAAAAAAGTTGAATTTAATGTGAGTTCAGTTGCGCTTATAAACTCGTCAAAGGGGATGTCAGTATATTTTTTGATGTTATTCCACTTATTTTTAATGATTTTTAGTGCTAGAGCTATTGGAACATTAGTGTATAAAGATACAACGTCTAGGGAGACAAGTACATAATCTTTTGGAATTTTAATATTTTTTAGTTTTTCTTTAAATTGAAAAGAATCTTTTAGATAATAATCGTTTTTGTATATTATATTGTTAAGTATATTTTTGAGATATTTTGAAAGTGAGTAAAATGGTGACTGGGTACATGAAACAATGGGGCGCAATGGGATGCCATCTTTATGTAATTTAGGGAGTCCGTATATTTTTGGTGGGATAGCATTGCGAATTTTTAGCCCTTTTAACATTGAGTGAATATATTTATTTATTAGCCTATTGATTAGATGCTGTGTGTTTGTTAGGCCTAACAATCTAAGTCTTAGTTGCCTAACAAACACACAGCAAATTAAAAATAACGAATTAATCGATAAATGGGAGAATAACCAATATATTTCACAATGTATGTCACAAATCACACAATTTATTGGCGAGTAATTTTTCAAGGCTCAAGACAAAAACACCGAAAAACAAAAAAAGCAATTTAATTTATGAAATACCCTGCAAAAATTGCAGTGGAGTTTATATAGGACAAACCA